TGTTAATGGAGCAATCACTGAAACGATGTTAGCTGGTCCTTTTAAGGCAGGGCTGCAATGAAGTTGAAATGAGTTTTGGGGGATAAAGTTCATTGTCTGGGCGAATATTGACTTTGCAATTAATTGCTGTTAAGCTGATCACTCTTTATAACATTCTGGAGTATATGCAAATTTCCATTATAAAAACTGAAGCAATAGACTTTGTAAATATTAACATTTGAATCATTCTCAAAACTTTTGGCCATGACTGTAGACTGTAAACAATTGTTCTACCAGTCTGTACAGATGAGATAGACTCATTTTTATTCGATTTGACCCTTTTAATTCCCTGTTGATACACAGATCTACATTACCATGTCACCAGGTGACTCTGAACCCCTCCAGTCACTGAATAGATTTAAAACGGATGAATGTGACAAAACTTTCTGTAGCTGAACTGATTTCTAGTCAGTGTGGCACACAATATGGAAGATATTGAAGAAAACATTATATTATTTAACATGAAAGTTATTTAAAATATTGAATATGACTGGACATTTTAATAGAGGGTAGTGTGTCTCATGTAAAAGCATGCATTACCACTTTTCTGTATCAGCTGGTTACAAGGCAAGGCATTTATTAACATTTGTTTGACAGGAGTGTTTGATTTGCAAATCTGTTGACAGTCCCTAAGTGAAGTGACTCTCTGAGCGCCTGAGGAAGGAGCTAGAGAACGGCTGGCCGAAATTAGCCGGCTAATAAATAATTATCCGACTAATAAATTGGATATTAGCCAGCCAGATATTAGATATCCGGCTGGCTAATTTCGGCCAGCCGGATATTGGATATTGGATATTGGAATATTGGAATATCCAATATCCAACTCGAAACTAACTTCACTGCAGTTGGTAACACAATAAAAAAAAACAGGATAAAGTTTGTTTTGGTCTGTGGCCTGCAAAGATGGCACCGAGACGTAAACGCCCCACAACATCTGATGCAGTGACGTTGGTTCCAAAGCTCTACTGGCCAATGGTAGAGAAGCTGGACATAGAAGGCAGCTCTCCTCATTAACATAATGATGCAGCAGATGGTAAAAAAGAGCAAGCAGAAATACAACAAGCAGAAAAAGGAGAAGCAAAAAAAAAAAGACAAAACAAAATATTTACTTTTCTTGACAGAAAGACATGTTTAGGAGAAATGAAAAAGGAAATATATACATTACTTGACAGAAACTCATGTGTAAGGAGAAGAAAAAATAAAATATATATTTTGCTTTTATTTCTTATTAAAATATATATTTATGCTTTTATTTCTTATTTTGTCGGTTTTGGTCCTCCATAAACAGTTGCCTGTAGTTAGGTTAACTATGCTGAATGGTTGATAATCTCACACAATCTACTCACCTCTCTTGGAGATTAACTGTTACAAATAGACACCCTTGTCTTTTTCTCTCTCTTATCTACTTTTTTGAAAACTTGACTTTATTATTTTTCTAGGCAGCACAGTAGCTGTCACAGTCGTTTTTTATTCTGACTGCTGCTGAAACTGTCACCATCAAGTGCGCTAAGCAGGAACGAACCATTTCATGCAGAACCGTTGGGGTGTTTAGTACAAATATGGATGTGTGCTTTTTGGTCTGGAAGGGGTAACATTTAATTTTTATTACTAAAAACAATTTTTAAAAACACAATAACAGTGATTGACAGGGCCCCGACATTTTTTATATTTCTGTAAGAAAAAAAAAGTCTTTCTTTTTCTTTTGTGGGGGGCCCCGTGTTGGTCCAGGCCCCTTGGAATTGTCATAACTTTCCCCCCCATACCACACCCCTGCTAACTTATCTTCTACTGGAGCTTTGGAAGTTTGGATGCACTCTGCACGGCAGCTCATATTACCAGCAAAGCTTGCGTGACCTACCCCAGGAACCAGAGGGCCCCCAAGAGCAATTAATTGCTTTCCTTTTGTCCATAAAATAATGATTATCATATCATAAAATCATATCATATCATAAAATAATCATTATCAAATATATTACTGTAAAAACAAATCACTTCATGATGAAATTGTGTGTTTTTGTTATTATAATGACATAGAAATCATTACTAAAAAAATCAGCTCTACTGAGGGGACCCCTTGGTGGCCCTGCGGGCCTAAGCGGCTACTTAGTTTGTTTATGCCTTGGGCCAGCCCTGGTAATAACTATGTTCATGAAAGAACATACTAATTTAATTAGAAATTTTAATAAGAATACAAGTAAATTGGAAATAAGGGAATTGTTTCAAAGATCATCTGTGAATCTCATCAGTAATTTAAAATTTTTTTTTTATTTTTAATATTTATTTTAGAAGAACGGGTATTTTTTATTCTAAATGAAACATGTGATCCATACTCCAATCTGGAAGGTGGCGGTAACGCACCTTAAGATGTTTGCCAACCGCGATAACAATAGAAGAAGAAAAACAAAGCGGAAGTGTTGTGATGAGGAAGTAGAGTTTTGGACATCAGAAACTGGGTCCTCTTTTGACCAGAAAGAGTCTTTTTTCCTTCCCTAACATTATATTTGCGCTGCTGTCTCTGTTTCATCCAGAATGTCTAAGAACACCGTTTCTGACCGCTTCAGGAAAGTAGATGTAGATGAATACGACGAAAACAAGTTTGTGGACGAAGAGGACGGCGGTGAGAACCAAGGAGGTCCAGACGAAGCAGAAGTGGACTCCCTTCTTAGACAATATCCTTTAAGGTAATTTAGCGACGGTGGTGGGGTTAACTGTGAGTGGTTGAAGCAATGAGGTGTCCCGCAGGAAGAAGCTTGGGTGTCCGTCAGCATGTAACAGTGTTCAGTTTGACTTTTATGCGGCGGTGTTTCCGGCTGGCAGGAACAAGAGGGTGTGGTCCCCGTACACTTCTACCACACTCTTTTACTTTTTTCTCAGCCGGTTGTTTCCGTTTGGTTTAACATTCTCTGTAAAATTGATAGATCCACTTTAGTTCCAGAAGATAATTAAACAAGGTTAACCTGTTCCTGCTCGGAATATAACTAGCTTTCATTTATACATATAAACAAACCCTTCAGATATTTTAGTCACTTTAAACAAGAAGTGACAAAATTATTCAGGTGAATAAACAGTTCTCATTCTGAGCTGATTAAACTATATTTCAGCTTAATGACTTTCAAGAATATGTGTGATGATCTTTACCATATAAGGTGATCATCCTGTTCTACTGTGTTCCTCACGTGCTTCTGCTGGTGTATTACTTGTCTCTGTGATTCTTGACTAATTCCTTGCAAAGGGAACATGACTGGAGCTCTCCATGCTGTACTGAAGAACCCTCCAATCAATACCAAGAACCAGAATGCTAAGGTATGAACATCTGACATGCCTCCTGCTCCACTTCTGTGATTACTTGTGTTTTGTCCTACAGTTGCCTTTACAAAAGAACACGGAGCATAGTAGCACTGGTTAGGTCTTTGCTCCTCAGGATGAAGACACATAAGAAGATTTCAACAAACTGGACTCATTTAGCACCTGCTCATAAATCAGAGGTGGCATCTGATTTATGTGCACTCTGTTGTCTACCAGTGATGTATTGATGTATTACAAGTCATCCAGCTGACAAATGTGGAGCTCATAAATTTCAAAATACTCTAAGCTTGATTCTTGTTCAAACATATGCATGACCTTAAAGCTAGGTGGAACGTCGAGAAAAATCAGTGCTCTGTGCCATCTATATTTATGAACAACTGGTATTGATAACTTGAGAAAAACATTATTGTTATGTCCTGGTGTGGAATGGTACTCGTGCATGTAAGTTTTAATCAAAGCATGACATTTAATTTTTTTAAAAAATTATTTTTAATTGAACCCCACCCCCATTTGGAGTTGAATTTGGAATTTCAACTCCAAATTACCTTTAGTGATTTATTTAAACTTGAGTAGTTTTCACCACCTGTGAGCTCAAAATCCAACATGGCTGCTGTGCATATCAAACTTGATAGATGCTGTAAAAACAGTTTTTAACTGTCATGTAATCTTTTTTTCTGCCTGGCTGGTAATGCCCACCTACCCCTCTCTCCGTCTGTGTGGCAGGACCGAGCGGAGTTGCTGGTGGTCAAAGTTCTTAGCAGTTTTAAGAGTAGTGACATAGAAAAAGCTGTGGGCTCACTGGACAAAGCAGGAGTAGACCTGCTGATGAAATACATCTACAGAGGCTTTGAGAAACCATCTGACAACAGCAGCGCTGTCCTGCTGCAGTGGCATGAAAAGGTAAGGTGTGTATGTGTATCTCAACACAGATTAGTATGGAAACTCATAGATTCATTACACAGAAGTCTATGGCATCTGGAAGCCCAGGTTCATTTCATGCAGTGCCTTGTGAAAAAGTATTCAACCCCCTTGAACTTTTGCCTCTTCAGGCTTCAAATATAAAGATCTAAAATTTGTATTATTTTGTGAAAAATCAACAAGTGGGACACAATTGTGAGATGGAATGAAATTTATTGGATATTCAAATCTTTTTTAGCAAATAAAAAACTGCAAAGTGGGGCATGCAACATTATTTGGTCCCTTGCATACTTTGTAGCGCCTCCTTTTGCTGCGATAGCAGGCAAATTCGTTTGGGGTATGTCTCTCAGTTTTGCACATTGAGAGACTGAAATTCTTGCCAATTCTTCCTTGCCAATTCTTCCTCCATCCAACCTCAGTAAGGTTGGATGGAGAGCGCTTTTTAACAGCAGTTTTCAGCTCTTTCCTCAGATTCTCGATTGGATTCAGGTCTGGACTTTGACTTGAACATTCTAACACCTGGATTTGTTCATTTGTGAACCATTCCATTGTAGATTTTGCTTTATGTTTGGGATAATAGTCTTGTTGGAAACTAAATCTCCATCCCAGTCTCAGGTCTTTTGCAGACTCCAACAGGTTTTCTTCCATAATGGTTCTACATTTGGCTCCATCCATCTTCCCATCAATTTTAACCATCTTCCCTGTCCCTGCTGAAGAAAAGCAGGCCCAAACCATGATGCTGCCACCACCATGTTTGACAATGTGGATGATGTGTGTTGCTTTTCCGCCAAACATATCGTTTTGCATAGTGGCCAAAAAGTTCGATTTTGGTTTCATCTTACCAGAGCACCTTTTTCCACGTGTCCAGGTGGCTTGTGGCAAACTTTAAACGAGACTTTTTATGGATATCTTTGAGAAAAGGCTTTCTTCTTGCCACTCTTCCATAAAGGCCAAATTTGTGCAGTGTATGACTGATGGTTATCCTATGGACAGACTCTCCCACCTCAGCTGTAGATATTTGCAGTTCATCCAGAGTGATCATGGACCTCTTGGCTGCATCTCTGATCAGGAAATCAGTCAAATAGGCTGAATAATATTGCACTTTGCTCTTTTTAATTGGTTAAAAAAGTTTAAAATATCCAATAAATTTTGTTCCACCTCACGATTGTGTCCCACTTGTTGATTCTTCACAAAATAATAAAAAATTTAGGTTTTTATGTTTGAAGCCTGAAAAGCGGCAAAAGGTTGAAAAGTTCAAGGGGGCTGCATACTTTTGCAAGGCACCGTAGGTGCCCTCAGCTTGTCTGAGGCACAATTCCAAAGTGTTTTAATCACTTAGGAATTGTTTTGATTTTTAGACAGCTTTGTTTCTCAGCTGTTCCCACATTCATATGCCTACACTTCGCTATTTGGACTTTAGCTAATTTTTTTCGCCACTATCAGTGGCATCTAAACTAAATTTAGATGAAACTAAATTTAGTTTCATCTTTCAGCCGCCACAAAAATAGAAGAAGAAAAACATCCCTTTTCTTTCAACAGATGCATAGGTATATGTTGAAAGATGAAAATGCTTACATAAAGTAGGGGTGGGTGATATGGACTTAAAATTTTATCAAAATATTTTGTGGTACTATTGGAACCATTGTCGCTGCAGAGAAAAAGTTATACACACACAATTCCATATACACCACATATATGGAATCGCCTTATATATACGGCAATATTGCCTAATATTACTTAGACCGACTGAAAATATAATGCGATTAAATGTCACTGTGGACTATGATGGGAATTTTGCGTCATAAAATTAGGGGGGGGCACAGGATGGATGAATGGAAAAAAACAACAACGACTCATCGTATAACAGAAACAGTCCGATCAGACTCCCCAGTCTCTCTACTTCTACCCCCCCACACCCTCCAGTCACACACATCGTTTCAATAAGAAGACCGAAGTCAAACTATTGTAATCCACAGGGGGTGCCCAGAAAGTGTTTGGAAACCATTGGGGGGACCCAGGAGAAAAAGTTTGGGAACCACTGGGTTCCCAAACTTACTGTAGTAAGACAGCACCGAGCAAATCCTACATTTCACCTTCAATAGAAATAAATTAGTCTATGTAAACTAATTCAAATATCCTATATTGGTGATCAAAAGTGGAAACGAGAACAGAATAATCATTTACCTTTATTCTCCGTGATAAGATCAAAATGATCCCACACGGGAAAAGACTTCCTCTAACTTGGTTGATCCATGCCGTTATTCAAAACCCAATGCAAAGCAAAGGACAAAAAGTATCTCCATCAACAAAACCCACAAACATGTCTACATTTTCTCCCTCATAAATGCAATTTGGGACATTCACAACCAAATGAAACAAGAACTGTATCAGTCGCATGGTTTTCCTTAAAGTGATACATGAACATGACATGTCATCTTGTTTGCTTGGCGCGAACAAGATGTCGTCTGGGTTAGGGTTCCTAGGAGAAGGGTGGGAATGGGCTTAAATGCCATCAAATCAATTTGCACTTGTCTTAGAAGCTGTACATGGTAGTTTCAACACAAGCCCAAGTTCATTGGTGAGTCGCTATTGTGGCCTCATTCAAGACACCAACATAATATCCTGACTGATCCCATGTCCAAAAAGTTTTTTTTAATTATTTTATTTTTTATTCCATTTTCTGAACCACTAAGAAATACCAAGAAATTTCAGTGCTACACGTGTGCCTATAAATCAGCCCCCAATTCCCAGTATTTCACCAGTACTGTAAATTAAACTAATTTAACTACAGGCAATTGTGTGTTTACTGTTTGAGTACAGAATCAAACCTGTACTCCAAACCAGTATTCAATGTAGGTTTGGACTCTGAAATGCTGTCAGCATTGGGTTTTTAGGAAACTTGGAATTAAATATTGTTGTTCCAGTGAAAACTGCTTAAAACCTTTTGGTTATTTGTGCCTATGACGGAATGCTGACCCAGTTCTGTTCTCCTTTTGACTGTTTCCTCAGGCCCTGGCAGTGGGTGGAGTTGGCTCCATCGTCCGAGTCCTGACTGCAAGGAAGACTGTCTGATGATTCCCATAATCTGCAGTTATGGTCATTAGGGCTGCTGTCCTTTTAAGAAACTGGAGCTGTGTCTTTCTGATGCATGACTTAGTTTTTTTCTGCTTTCACTCCTCTGGGATTCAGAAGGTGCTGGCGCCTCAAACTGAAGTCACTTATTTTTACTGCCAGCAGTACAGAATTCCACTTTTCTTCTTAAACACAAAATGGCACCTTGCTCTGTCATCTGCTCAGCTACAACACTGAACCATTCTAACTCAACCCCAGCTATCCTTGTCCTTAACTCTACTCTTTTGTGGGTCTGACTCCTTAAGATGAGAGGAATGGAAAAGGTAGATGGATTCTCATTGACACCTTTCCCTGCCTTTTGCCCAGCACATGCTGGGACTGAACTTCATTGTATCTCAAATTAGAATATTTGAGGTAAACTTTGAACAACTTTCAGTCTTTTTTTTTCTACTTCTGTCTTCACAAAAACCACATCCATGTGGCACTATTGTGTGAATGCTTTTTATATATGGAATAAACTAAATAAAGAGCTAAACTTGAATACTGATTGGTCATTAATGCCAATGACTTATAGGGTGGAGCTTTTAGAAAAGAAATACAACCTTCATATTGAATCTGTCACAAGAAAACCAAAACAGTACATAGTTGTGCAGAAGATGTTCCTCATCACATTTGTCATCCTGCGTTTTAAGTTGGAAAGTTTATAATGAGCCCTGAGCAGTGAAAGCACTACTGAGACCTATTAGCATAGGACTTGTAGGATTTATTATACTTTTCTGCCCAAAAATACACATTGTGGGGCCTATTCAAAAATTCACCAAACTTCACTCAAAAGGAAACATTTTAATGGACTCAAAAGTAGGCATGGCTCTACAGTGCCCCATAACGTGAGTGTAGGCTAAACTGTTCATCCTACAGACATGAAACTAGGTTTGTTGGTAGACCCTCTTATCCCCCCAAATCAAGAAGGAAAGTCTCGAGGAATTATGTCCTAAAATGGGAGGCAGCCATTTTGGGACATTTTGACATTTACACACCTCAAACTTCAACAATCTCCCCATCCCTATGCAGTTAAGGGATGGAGATTAAATTCCTGAGTTCCGGAGCTTAACATACTCGTCAAAACAAACAAATCACTATAACTTTCACACAGGAAGACTGAAATGTGAAAAACTTAGCATGAGTTATCCATGTTGGATGCCTAATGATACTTTGATATGCTGACATCAAAGCCTGCCCCACCAGAGCAGGAAGTCATTTATTTGTCTTGATCTCAATTTTTTTTTGTTTAAATAGTTAAAGGTTTATTTGTGCTTTAAAGCACAAATAATTTGTACCTGCAGTGATGCTTGACAAGGTCAATTGAAGAATTCAGATTCTTCAAAGAATCTAAGGCATCACCTTAGTCCCGCATCCTTTAAACAGGAAATCACGTTTTGGTGTTGGGAATCTTTGATTCATACAGATTTAAACCTGTCTGATGACATACAACATGATGTTGAATCCTACTCTCAACACAGACTAGTGCCTGCAGCATGCGGGCATAGCAGAAGGCCGAATTCTAGTTCCTTGCATATGGTTGGTTTAATTTGGAAGATGCATGTTGTTTAGAGCCAAACTGCATATGCATAATCTCGAACTTCTAAAGATTTCAATATTAGAATTTGACTCCAGAACACTGGAGAAGAGTGTATGATTTAATTCAATTCAAAAATACTTAATTAATCCTAAAGGGAAATTAAATGTTGTAGTTCATTAATTCAGATTCTTCAAAGTGTTACTGAAAATGATGACTGTCGACATAAAAGCTCTCTTGGCATAAAAGAGCTTTATGCCAAGCTCTTTTGGCATAAAGCTTGGCATAAAAACTATGACTTTTATAGCTTTTATGCCAAGAGCAGAAAAGCTATAAGTCATGTTACCAGAGACATGCTGAAGAAGCTCTGACCCTACTGTGGTCAGGGTTGTCCATAACTTTCTTAATTTTATGAAGAATTAGACACGCCCACTCAAGATTATTAGATAACTCCTAATATGATCTAAGAGTTGCATCATATCCACTAACTCCCAATAACCACACGACGGGAGCCGAAAGGAAGTCCTCACCAGAAAGTGAACTCCATTCCATAACTCCAGTACACAACGGCGTGGAAGCTGCTTCAATGTCTTCAACCATCTAATTCTACACAAAACACACCTTCCCCCTTGATGTCAAGGTATCAGACTACTGCTGTTTTCCATTAGCACATTATTATTTTTCTGTAGTTAATTTTATTCAAAACCGATCATTTTCAAGCATTATTCCATTGTAATCCTCCTCAGACTAATCAGAAATATTTCATTCAAATTATTTTTAATCCACTATCATTACTAGTTTTAAATTAGACAATATTTAAAACTAGATTGTTATTAATCTAAAAGTATTAAGATTTCCCAGTCGCTATAGATGCTTCCATAGAGAACCATGGAAGACATGGAATGGAAGGACCCAGTTCCATTCTTCTGCCATTCATTCAGAAGAATAGATGGCAGAAATTATGCCAAGCTCTAAAATATACAGAGCTGGAATGTAGTTGAGATGTCTTTAAGCTTTAATCAGAAAATGAGTCAACATGTTGAAATCTCAGATTTATATCCATCTACCTGCCTTCTCTTAGACAGTAAGCATTAAGTTTTATGTTAAATGTACAGATGAGATTTTATTGTCCAACCAGAAAATAACCAGTACAGATGCACACACACAGACACACACTGGTACCAAATCTAACAAGAATGAAGCACATTTTCTCTTTCATAAAGCACAACAGACAGTTTTCATGGGGGCGGTAACCCTCACGGGTTCACAGTTGGCACAATAATGGATGAAAACATCTCCAGAGTAAGGATCCACTTCCAAGTAGTTTTTCCAGCAGAGAAAAAAATCTTCCTCTAGTCTTCAGTCTGAAAGCTCAAAAACAGAATATTACATATTTTCTGTTCTGCAAATATATTTCTGATATCTGTTCTGATATCAGAAACTCCCAGCTGCATCACACTTTGTGTGCTATAACAGACCAGCACTCACAAATATCAGGGGAGATATTTGTAAATATCTCCCAATATTTGTGAAAATGAAAAGTCACCCAGATACATTTTTTGCAAGAAACAGGCTATGTTGGTTTTAAAATTCTACAGTGAAGGGAACTATTGGGTTATGTACAAAATTCAGGTGTTCTTTAATGTGAAAGGAATAGAAAACAGCTTCATTTATCCAAGCCCAACTAACTCAAAACTAAAAAAGTTCTACGCTCATACATGTTGCCTAAAAAAAGTTTTCCTAGATTGACAAGTCAAAATTAGTAATAAAAATACAATCTAGCAACATCTTGTTGCTTTATTTATGAAGCTGCATTGTTTTAAGTGTATAACTTTGACTTGAAATGTATGTGCCTTCTTTGTGCTCAGATAATTTTTGCATCAGCGCTGAGATTCTTCAAAAGTACCTTCCAATGAGCTGAAAAAGTGTTTCCCCAAAACTCCAGAGCTCCTCAGCTGATGGTTCTGGAAGGAACAAGGTCAATTTGCCATTTCACTAATTTGTTCCTTCATTTAAGTTCCTTCACTTCAATTCAATTTCATGGACCTGTGTACCCATGCATTATTGTAATCAATTAGTTCCATGAATTATGGTACAATCATTGAAATGATCAACTCTCAACTTGCCAGGCATTTTGAAAACATTGTGGCACACCCTGTTGCAATTAATTGTGGTTGAAATTCCTATTTGAACCAGCAGACTTCCCCCTGCTGGATCTTATTTATTGAAGTCAAAACCAGATTTCCTTCTTTGAGCAAATAAAGAAAATAACGTTAGATTGTTCTTAGACAAGTGGAGAAGTCCCTGTGTCCCTTGCTTTCGGACAAACTAGAATTCTTCTAAATTCTCTTTTTCGAGGACTTCTGTTCAAATCCTTTATTTCACACAGAATGTTGCTCTGTGAGAACCTTCTGTGTCACTGCTGAACAAACAACAAAGTTGTGGAAATTTCTGTGGAAAATGAATACTGTAGTGGTCTAACAAAAACACTCCCCAAACCATCTCACCCCTTGAATAATACACACAGCTTCCTCTCTGCGTTACAAAACATTTATAAAAAGGATGAGCCGCCACAAATTTTAAAAGACAGTTTGTTTCTATGGCAACAGATCAGGACAACAGAAAGGAAGATACTCAAACAAAACAAGTCAGTCTTTCCAGATGCCAAATATCAAGTCAGACCTCACACATTTGGAATTTCTCATACTTTATCATAACATGTGACAAAAGAGGCAAACCAAAATCAATGGAGCTCCAAATCATTGCTTCAGCAGACCTTGTTTGAAATATTTTTGTGGAAAACATGTCATTTAAATTTCCCTCTAGAAAAGTCAAACTCAAGCAAAAATCAAATCCTAAATTTCACATACTAATTATTAAAATTGAGAAACAACTTCTCTTCATGGGTTCTAACTAATTCCATTTCAGACACTAAATTTTACTCTGAACATTGTAATCATAAAAAGGCTAAGGAAAAGTCCCCTGAGACAGATTCTCCCTAAGAATCTTTTGAAATTTAGACCAAATGTCAAGCAGGTCTTTAAGAGGGGAATTCAAGTAGCATATATTCAGAATTCTTTTTCCAAAGAAAAAAATATACAGACACTGCTTAAGTAATGTCTGTACTTCTTTTCAAAGTACAGACATTAAATACAGCTAACATGCATCTTGCATGCACATATACAGTTTGGAAACAGAGGACTTGGATAATTGAGCAAAATTTGTGTCTCCAGCAGTTTTTTCTTCATTTCCCAGGCATGAATCTTAGCAGTTTCATAATGAAATATGCTCTACCTTCTGGACAAATATGTTTATGACATGAAAAGATTACCAACATTGCCATGTGTGTCACTGAAAACAAAGCTCACAATATAAGGGGGAAAGGTTTGCAGTATTTTTTTCCCTTTAACATTTAAATCTCCCAATTCAACCAATGCATGAAACCCGTTTTTGGAAAAGCTCTACACTTGCTGTTTGAGGTGTGATCTGCTGTACTGATCTGCTGCTGTCTAACAGGAGACAAAATTCACGAAATATAAAACAACAATGTTTTTTTCTATTCATAGGAGTCCATTTGAAGGTTTCACCAAACCCCCTGGTCTCTGTCAGGCACACATTCTTCTGCTTGTGTTTGTGTGCAGCTGTTTCCATGTCCATCTGTTCACCTCCAACACGTGTGTATGTTTATGCAAAAGTGGATGGAGTTATGTATTCTTATGTACGTTTACTTGTGTTCTTTAGTGGGGGCAAAGTAGAGCTCCATGGGTTTGTTGACCTTCCAGTACTTTTCACTGACCAGCTCCAGGGAAAAGGAACCATTCAGAACCTATGAACAGAGTTGAACAGTTAAACAGACATATGATGCACCAGCTCTACCACCCGAGACGCCGAACAATACCACATGTCCATTCATGCAGCAACAGTTTCTGAAGAAAGAGCAAACTATGGGTTGCTCTTTCTTCAATCTATGGGTTGAAGAAAGACCAGGACCAGTCTGCAACAAGGACTGGTCCTTTATAGACACACTGAGCAAAATTTCAATGGTTTTCCTTTAGGCAGATCCCTTTTCAAGAAAAGTTTACTATCTTATTACTTTTATTGCAGGGGTGGATTTGGTAAGATCACAGGCTTCAGGTTCACTGGATACAAAGGAATAAGACCAGGACTGACCTGATGCAAGATCAGTTGAAAAATCCTAACATAGAATGGGAGGTTGACCATTTTTGACCATTTGTGGTTGATCAAAAATGTCCTTGTTGTGGTCACTAAAGATCACAACACAGACATGTATGTTCTTTTAAAGCTTCTGCACCCCCCAGTGGTTTTCAAACACATTTGTAATCCTCCTATGGATTACAAATGGCTGTCTAGTTGAAACGACGCGTGTGACGGGGAAGGGGCATCGACTTTTTTGGGGGCAAAATGAATGTACGTAGCTGAAAATAGACACCAACGTCGGTAGCCTAACAAGGTACTTGTTAAGCTTAAGGTTCTGTATTGATATTAGCTAGTCATCTTTTAGCTAACATTACCTACATCCAACAGCTTTACTCAACTCAGTCGGTTAGTTTGGAGGAAAAACTGTGAAAAGTTCTTTGCGTTTTGCTGCCGTGATTCTAACACAAACCTACGTAGCTCCGCCCAGCAGCAGCAGGTCTCCTTCACAGGTGGAAACCCAGCGCGAGCGTCGTAGCGCGCATGTTGCGTTTAAAGGCGGCTCGGAAAAACAGGTTACAACATGTTAACAACAGATTAAACAGTTTTAACTGCTGATAAAAGTGACAGAGGACACAAGTATGGGAAGTGTGGAAGCCTCTACTGTATCAAATTGACAAAAGAATAACAGAGAGTTGGCCATTCTAAGGTAAAAACCCATACAGTGTTCATGTTTTGTTTTGTTTTTTTCATCCAGATGGCTTCTTGCGCCCCCCTTGCAATGACATGGCGCCCCCCCTAGCGGGCGCGCACCACAGTTTGGGAACCTCTGTTTTAAAGGGAGCCTGCATTTCTGTGTTGTGGTCTGTATGCAGAATATTGTTGTGTGCCATGTATGCCCAACGTAAACCTATAATTCTGTGTGAGGATCTTTCAACTGATCAGGACAACCAATTAACAATAGTATATAGCAATATTTAGAATGTGATCGTAAGAGGTTTTAAACCGTTTTGTTAGCGATGATCCTGAACATAAGAGTACTCACAGTAAACTGGTTTCCAGCAGTAGGTATGTAGATGGTGTACTGTTTCTCTGATGCTGCTTCAACATTAACAGGACTGGCCTCAGCATTTCTTCTCAGTTCCTCCAGAGCCAGCCGGACTGCCAGGTATTTAGACAGGTGATCTACAGTGGCGTTACCAGAGGTCTTAATGTAGCGAGGAACAAACTCCACACTGTAAAGACACAGTCAGATCACAATTACCAATCAGATGTAAATGTGTGCTTGTCACCAACTTCAGAAGGTTTTGTTTTGTGGTGAACACACCTGTTATGACCATCATCCTTCTCCATCAGGGTGGGGTGTGGCCTGAACACCAGCTCTATTTCACTGGCTCCTCCATCAATCACAGAGTCTCCTCCCCCGTTCTCAGCAGCGTTGTCCATGTCCAAACCACTGTCATCACTAGTCTTCGTGCGTTTAATGCTCGGTCCAGCCTCCTGGGGAACCAATACACAAAACACAACATGTGTCTGGAGAACATACTGCAACCATTATGCCACAACACATGCCATACATCAGGGGTGCCCAATACGGAAGGTTTTGAGTCGATCTCGGCAGATGATAATCTGAACGCCACCAGGACGCTGAGAGCAGCACTTCCTCTTCTGACGGGCTTATCAAAAATATTCACTAAGATCCTAGACGTTTGTAGCTTCATTAAAAAAGAATAATTATTTAAAAAAAAATCAACGAGATGTGTTAAAATTAATAATCTCAGTAATTATTGTTTGAACAAGGTGTTGCGCAATTCAGTGCGTTTCGGTCCCATCAACAAAAAAGAAAAAGAAGGCGACTCAAAGACCGACTGACGAGCAGAGCAGGAGTTTAAATTAGCTACTCCACCACCGCTGTGTTCATGAGAGGCTTATTAATAATCGAGGAATAAATATCAAGCCTGGAAACCTGATATTGTAACGGACTGAATGTTGTGTTTTTAACATAATCTCTGCTCGGCTTGCGGGGCGCAGGCGTTTACCACGGCAACGGGTGTGCTTAAACGACAAAGAGACAGAAAGTAAAAAGGTAGGAGTGGTTTAGAGTTGATCACCTGTTCGGGTTGTTTTACCTTTGTTTACCTTTGCTGTGGCTCATCACACCCGCTGCAGTTTCTGAACATTCAATAAACGACAAACTTGGACTAATTACCTCATTCGTTTGGGAGCATACATCACAACAAACATCAAATAGGACAAATATATTTCATTAAGTTTTAACAAATTCTACCGCAATAATTATGTGAAATTAAATTAATTATATCCCGACTTCAGAAGATTTGCCTTTAGCTTTTCTGGGCTCTTTGGTTAGTTTCTCATATTGAGGTCATCAAACCAAATTTCAGATCTACCATGACTGATCGACACCTGCTGGCCTCAGGTTTGCAACCAGCTTCTGACTGAGAAACCAGTGACCTCCCAGTGTCAGAATCTCACTGAGGAAGAAACTGCGTTAGGTTTTCTGTCACTTTATTATTTCTGCTGATGCATATTCGCATATAAAATAAGTCAATAGAGTTTAATTAGCAATTTTTATTTCTTTGTGTCATGAGGTAGATCTCAGGCGGCTGGTGAGAGAAAAAGTAGATCTTGCTCTCATAAAGTTTGGGTACCCCTGCCATACATTTAATTAATACGCATTTACTGCTGTACATCAGGACATACCTGATTACTGTGGACAGACGCATTACTACAGTGGGAGGAGTCTCCGTTGTCCTCAGCTCCGCTACCGTTTTCCACTGTGTGTCTCTTGCCACGCTGTAGCCTGACAACAAGAAAAAACATAGTACCCACCAGGTAGCATCTCTGTGCACTGTTTGTCTCAGGGATTGTGTTTACCTGGTCATTGCCTGTATCTTCAGCCCCTCTTCTATGCTGTGAGACAAAGCCTGCTGGTTGTTGTGTTTGCTAATGCGAGCCAAAACTCTCTCCTGATGGGCTTCATACTCATCTCGGCTGGGATAAATCTTACCTAAAATTAAACAAGAACCCGTTTAATGTGCTACACTTAGGTGTAGCAACTGTGGAGTTTCGTGCAGCTACTCAGCTGAACTAACCCATTTCTTCAGTGTTCCTGGTGTAAATATACAGTACAATTCAACAAGTGTTTGACGTTGTGGCAGGTATATTAAGGTTTTAGAATGTTATTTTGTCTCTTAAAGTCAGGATTTTAAATAGAAGTTTTAATGGTCATTAATCAAGCTGGGGCATACAGAAACAACTTGGGCTCTTTTGTTAGTTTACTTCCAACTTTTTAAAGTACATTGTAGGCCTGTCACGATAACAAATTTTGCTGAGCGATTAATTGTCTAAAAAAATCACTGCAATAAACGATAATATTGTTTCAAGACCTTCTGACACTGATTTAGTGGAAATCAGTGTCAGATTGGCAGGAAATTGTATGCAATTTCCTGCCATAGCTGCCATTTCCTGCCATTTTATTTTCAAAAGAACACATAAAACTGGAACTGATTAAATAAACAAAACAACCAAAAAATAAAATAAAATGGATTCTCAGTCTCCATTAACAACTTATTCACATTACACGATTTTTTGCCCCTATTTTCCCCTTACGACAACCTTAGATCGTTAGCCGATCTAAGATTGTCGNACTTAAGTACAGTAACGAAGTACTTGTACTTCGTTACTTCCCACCACTGCTAAAAATTTAATATACACCAGATGAGATTTTCTCCCCTGAGAATGTTTTACCAGTACCGATACCGGGTTGATTGTGAGCCTTCAAATTATTTTAACGGAAGTTTCACATACGTTATAAGTTGATACAGAGCCAAGCAGGAGAATCAACTAACTTCAAGTTAAAACTCAGCTTCACACAAAGACGCTATAAATGTTTGGCTGTTGAACTGAACTGTTCAAGGTCGCTATAAAGCAAATTTTCTATTAGCAGCTTCACAGATTTTTTTTATAAACATTACATTACGAAGACATATTAAAACAAACCTTTATATTGGCTTTTTTCCTCTTTTCTTTCTCCTTGAAAGATAAGTCCTTTTTTGAGGCATTGTTTTGCTAACTTATCTTCTGCCGGAGCTTTGGACGCGCTCTGTACGCTGCACGGCAGCTCAAATTATGAAACGTGCATGACCTACCGCGGACACCAGGGGGACCTCAAGAGCATTTTTTCCCCCTTTTTTCCATAAAATAAAGATTTCTATATACATCATCAAATATATATTATTGTAAAAACAAATCACTTCATAATGAAATTGTGTTTTTGTTATTATAATGACATAAAAATCGTTACTAAAAAAAAAAAAAAATCAGCTCCCCTGACGGGGCCCATTGGTCGATCTAGGTTGGGGCCCTAACTAGCTGCTTAGTTTGCTTATGCCTTGGGCCGGCCCTGCCAGGCATAAATGTTGAGCTGAGTCTGGACAGTAACAGCTGGATGTGCAGAACTTGTAAAAAACCTTTCAAGTTAAGACAAGCAAATCTGTTCAAAAGGAAGAAACGCTGAAATAATGAAATAATCTGGTTTTGCCATGAAATAAACACTAAATCTTACCAAATATGCTTGGTCAAACATCTCAGTATACTTGAAATAAGACAAAACTAATTTACAAGTCACTGTTCATCAAGCTGTATCAGCTTGTTTTAAGTAAATATCTCCTTAATAGTGATAAAAATGTAACTCCTCTGATATTTTATTCACTGACATTTTTCCATGTAACAAGTGAAACCATCTGCCAGTGAAACTAGAACTTTTCTATTCTAGCATTAAGGAATCTGATTCAGTTGTTTTCTTTACATTTTTACCTCTGTTAAAAATGTAAGTTAAATTGCACTTGAGATACATTAAATTAAAGGTGGGAAGTTTTCTTTATTACTATAAACGTAAAATGAAAACTGTTTGTTTTGCTTTGACAAAGCAAATATTCTAGTTTTTTACATTTATCAAGCACAAGACAAGGGCTAGTGGCCCTTGTCTTGTGTGGATATTTATATCCACCTGGTTAGAGCCAAAATCCTTAGACGACTTTATGTTGATAACTTAAACATAATAACAACTTAAGTTATGTCCATCCATCCATCCATCCATCCATCCATCCATTTTCTTCCGCTTATCCGGGGTCGGGTCGTGGGGGCAGCAGCTTCAGAAAGGGAGGCCCAGACTTCCCTCTCCCCAGCCACTTCTTCCAGCTCCTCCGGGGGAACCCCAAGGCGTTCCCAGGCCAGCCGAGAGACATAGTCCCTCCAGCTTGTCTCGGGTCTTCCCAGAGGCCTCCTCCCGGTGGGACGTGCCCCGAACACCTCACCAGGGAGGCGTCCAGGAGGCATCCTTACCAGATGCCTGAGCCTCAACTGGCTCCTGTAGACGTGGAGGAGCAGCAGCTCTACTCTGAGTCCCTCTCGGATGACCAAGCTTCTCACCCTATCTCTAAGGGAGAGCCCAGCCACCCTGTGGAGGAAACCCATTTCGGCCGCTTGTATCTGTGATCTCGTTCTTTCGGTCATGACCATAGATGAGGGTGGGAACGTAGATCGACCGGTAAATCGAGAGCTTCAGTTTTTGACTCAGCTCTCTCTTCACCACGACGGACCGGTACAGCGCCCGTTTCACGGCAGACGCTGCCCCAATCCGCCTGTCGATCTCCCGCTCCCTTCTTCCCTAATTCGTGAACAAGATCCCCAGATTCTTAAAATCCTCCACTTGAAGCAGGACGACCCCCCCTGACCTGGAGAAGGCACTCTACCCTTTTCAAGACTTAACTTAATTGGATACAAAAGCAGCTTTATGTAAGTTGATCTCTGAGGCATAAAGAAGAAGCTGAGGATTTTCAGTGTGTGTCATTCAAGCTGTGTGACTCCCAGTTGGATGTAATAACTCCCTGGAGCAGAACTGAATTAACACATAACATGCAGATTATCTCATTTTGTGTCAGTGATATTTTGACAAAAAAATTGCAATAATTACAGAGGAAACCACAGCACAGCTCTGTGACGCACAAAGGATCGGTTTGTTTATAAGTGGCGATTAGAAAAAAAGATCTGATAGAAAGATCTAATAATATGCATATTGCTGATCCAAACTGAATTAAAATAGGAAAAGTTTGATCTGATTTCATGCCATGCGGTAACAGAATGTCTTGTAACTGTGGATGTAACCCTGGCTTCAACTGAATTTTGAACTCTTTAACTCCTCATTCTACTTGCTACATTCCTGTTCTGGTATTGCGTTTTGCTCCGATGTCAGCAGTAGTTGCTGCACATGCCTTACTCCCAACACTTTAACGTTTACTGCCTTAGCAGTAAACATTAAAGGGTTGTAGACATAAGTGTCTACAAGGTAGCCATGACCGCCTCCCTCGCCCGTCTCTCCCCAATAGAGCATGCCACCCTGGATTTCTGTCACGACTTCTTTTAATGGCCGCTGTTGTAATCACTGCCTGTAGGACCAGGGGCGTCTCTGGTTTAATCTCGTTTCAAAACTCCTCCTGCCCTTGGCCCTCTTATGTGTCAGTCCCGTTTTCATCACGCGCGGCGTTCTCAATGTGGAACAGCGAATACCTACAGTCTACTGAAATATGTATAAACACACCCTGAAACCTACAAATGTGTTTGGTTTGAGCAAATCGAGAGCCTTGAAACTCAACATGGTGCAGCTGCACCGACACGCTTTGCTCCACTTTGGTGTTTTGCCTCCAACAGGAGGGGAAGGAGATGAGTGACAGAGCTCACAGCCCAGAAACAGCAGCGGGGAAAATCAAGAGAGTAACAGTACAGTAACAAAGTGTCTTAGGATTGTGTTTTTCCCCCTCGTTCTCTCTCTCTTTTCTTCATGTCAGTCTTTCAGCTACTTTGATGCATTTCTATGAAAACCAGACAGCGCAATAGGTGTTTTTAGTCCCTGATGTAAAAACACCCAAACTCAAGATTCTGGAAGCAATGCAGGAAGATGTTCTTATTATTTTTGTGTTTTCAGCCAAACAGTAAAAGACAGTTCAACTGTAAGTTTTATTAGAGTGTCGGATTCCTGTAACGTTTCTGTTAATCACATTGCCTGTTAAATGATCATTACGTCAGCATGCTCTATATTAGTCCTCCTTCAAAGAGGCTTTAAATCTCTTGGGAATGTTTGTAGCTGACAACTTTAGAGTTTCAGCAGTCTGTTGTGTGTACACGGCGGGTTACACAGGGCTGCTGCAATTTCATTTATGTGAGGCTGAGAATCTCTCAATGCCATTTAGAGTCTTCTTGGACACCATGACAGAGTGGAGTGGTGCAGCAGCATTCATCTTGTATTTGTGGCCAGCAGCCTCTGACACCCGGCAGACAAAGGGAAATGAAAAGAGGCTGCTGCAGCAGCAGCCAGTGGAAACATGCTTCATCTGCTCAGAGACTTGGCTTATCCTCCAGCTGTGTTTGCACCGTCTTTGAATGCAAACAATAAGGCTACAGAATGTAGGGCAGGGAGGAAAAGACCAATGTGTGACTGGGTTGCTGTTGCCCTGAAAGATTATCAAACAAAACCTACTGTCCAGTATTTACATTAAAATATGTTGCTACTTTGATCATAGTTGCAAATTAACTTGAAGACAAGAAGTTCTAATGTTGAAGACACTTTTGAATTGTCAAGGTCAAATTTACAATTTTTTACAAATAGCAATCTGAAAAGTGGGACTCCTTCAGACTAGCCCGTAGCAATTACATGTTTACCTGGTGGAACTGCTGAGCTCATTATATGAGCTATTGCTCAGTACAATGCTGGTAAAAACGTTGTTGAAGGGTTAATAGAGGAGCCATATTGGGATGACTTCCTGGAGGCAGAGCTTCATGAAGAGCAGGAGTTCTTAAAGAGACACAGGCCCAATTTCATAGTGTTAATATACAAAGTCAAGTTTCTTTTAAGTCATATTTGATTTATTTAGCATTATAACAACTGAAGTTAACAGTTAGTTGATTGTGTTGTAAAAAGATTCTATGGGGCTCCTTAACAGTGTTTGGGAAAAAAAATGTTCAGAGGGTATAAATACTATTCTAAAGACACGACACCTGTCTATATTAACCTGTAAAAATCGGAACCATGTTTAGGAAAAACATGAGTTGCAAAATTAGACTCATTTCTTCATGAAGGACGACACGGCGCCTGCTGTCTTGGCTCCACGGGTCCATTCATACATTAGAGCCACTGCTGTTTCAGCAAACTCATTCTAGTCTCTGTCAGCCGAACAGAAGCAGCCATCAAGTAAAGTTCTCAGCCCTTCATGCTCCATGTTGCTAGTAAAATGTATAGGCTACTGTGACAAAGTGGTTCAGTTTGTGTTCACCACTTGTCCCTTATTCTGTCTGAATCACTTACTTTCTATATTTGGTTATAATGATTAATTTAAACATTGCAATTTTGCTTCACTTAGTATCCCTGGGTTTGTTTGTGTTAGCATTATGTTGCAGTGTCCATTTATGTTTAGGTTAAAGTTACTATTTCTGGACTATAGGTTGAATTTGTTTCAAGGTATATTTAAAAAATTTATTTTCCTTTGTACTCACCATCATTTGTCCTTGTAGATCTGCAGCAGGGCAGGAGTATGGGAGGGGCCGGCCCAGTACTTCCTGCTTAAATAGCTGGATGATGTCAGTGATTACCTTGCTGGGTTCTACCAATTAGAGGGTTTTCTTTTGTGTATTGCTTTGTTTGTTTTTCTTTAAAGTAACTTTTTGAGTTATCTTGTATTATGTAGTTTATTTTGCAGACAACTTCATTATGTAGGAGTTTGTAAATTAGATTTGTAATTTTAGTGTTTCTCTGTTTAGATTTTGTTTGTTTGACCTGTTCCATTGTGGCTGTGTCGAATCAAGCACAGGTGTGGTGCCAATTGGATATAAAAACAGTGAGCTTTTGGATGCTCAAAAGAGAAGTCAGTGAAAAGAGAAATAAAAAGTAATTTGAAGAAACTGAAACCGGTGGCTGGTACTGATTTTCTGTTCACCTTCTGACCCTTGTGCCTTAACTTCTTTACAGCTACACTGAATCATTTCTCCAGGAAAAGTAGAAATTACAGGGATTGCTTTGCGATGATCTTCCATGGCAATTTAAAAGCTATCTATCTATGTAAGAACTTCAGAAATGATAGACAGTAGGGTTGCCACCCATCTCGTAAAATACGGAATCATCCCGTATTTGGCTGTTAAATGTTGCGTCTTGTATTGAACTGATACAGGATGCGAGTTGTTCCGTATTCTATAAATGTCCGATAGACATGCCTATCACACACATATCAACACTAAGTGTAACAATAATTACCAAAATAAAACACAGGAAATATTAAGGTCAGCTAAATTGTCGTGGTGGGAGCTCCACGGGACCCCAGAACGCTATAGACCGACGCTGTTGTAATGGAAAATTTTAAGATTACCATATGATTATGAGTCAAACAATGAAACAACAGTTTCATGATTCTTGTGAGACACACACCTGCTCTAAAGGGAGTCTAGGGAGTCTTCCAGAGCAGTTCCTCTGTTCTTGGTAGTACAATAAATCTATGGAGTTATCGGAATGTTATGACGTTCATAGTTGCTGGATTGTTCCTAATAAAACTGTAAGTTTTGTTTACTCAGGGCTCTTTCTCCTGACCGCAATCAGTGAGCAGAGACTTCAAACGCTGTAGAGCCTTCGAATAAATACTGATTAAGAATATATTCTTTTTCTGGTTCCTTGGCTTTTTGAAACCGTTTTTCCTCACTTCTTGTTAAAGGAAAATTTCCACAACACTGTTGTCACCGTTGCCTAGAGACAGTCACTACCTAGTTGCTGTGAGCTGCTGTCGACCCAATTCTCCATCGTCCTTAGAAGTAAAACCTCTCACAAAGATATAGCTGTGCGAGGGAAGACACAACTCCTAGGCTGAATAATGTCAGTGAGGATGAACACAGGCAATTTAAAAAAAATGTGTCCATCGTAACGCAGTGAATACTGTATGAATGAATCAGAAGAGGAACACTGCAGACCCGTCAGAAACTATGGACTTGACATCAGCATCTCTTCATCCTTCAATCATCTCCTGAGGCTGATATGGTGCAGAACAGGCATGGAGCCATAGGGGGTCTGGGGCCCGGGCCCGGATGGGTGCCCATGGGGGGCCGGGTCTGGAGGTGCCAGGGAGGGAGGAATGGTTTCAAGTCGCTTTAATGTCTGATTATAGACGGCAAAAGTGCACCCTCGCCTTTTCAGAAAGGTGTATGTGTGATGCCCACTGATGTGTGCCCACAAAAGTGGAAATAAAAGGGCATGCATTTCTTTAAATGTTTATGGGGTTAATGACGATGGGTGCAGTAACGGTGTTTCAGCGATAGGTGGCGCATGGGGATTCTGAGCTGCCGGTTGCTCTGCCGTTTCTCATAAGTTGAGAAATTGGAGTAACACACAGACTGCGTCTCTCGTGTGCTCACTTAAATACTGTTTTTCAGGTGAGGATAACCCTCAATGTTTATGTTAACATAGTACTTTATTATTTGATACTGTGTGGGGAATGTTTGGGAAAATGTATTAATGTGTTGAGAGAGATAGGACGGGTTTTGTTGTGTTTCGGAGCCAGCAGCGGCTGGAGGAGGTAGCCAGCAGACCGTGATGCTAGTGGGTTAGCACACTGTAGTGGCGGGAAAGAGCTGTTTTCAGGTTCCATGGTTTGTTTGTATTCTGGACAGTTTTGGAAGGTTTAAGCAGTGATTTAGTGCATTCACTTGAAGTGGTTTGTGTTCAAAGGTATTTACGCCAGTGCAGTAGCTTGATATATATGCCCATGAAATGTCGCCATGTGTGATTGGATATGCATGTAGAGTGCGGTGAATTGAAGGTATATGGAATTGTGACGAAATATGTTTATGATTGAATATGTCTAAATAGACTATAAATCAGGGGTGCCCAATACGTCGATCGCGATCGACCGGTCGATCGCGGAAGGTTTTGAGTCGATCTCGGCAGATGACAATCTGAACGCCACCAGGACCCTAAGACCAGCGCTTCCTCTTCTGACGGGCTTATCAAAAATATTCACTAAGATCCTAGACGTTTGTAGCTTCATTAAAAAAGAATTATTAAAAAAAAATCAACGAGATGTGTTAAAATTAATAATCTCAGTAATTATTGTTTGAACAAGGTGTTGCGCAATTCAGTGCGTTTCGGTCCCATCAACAAAAAAGAAAAAGAAGGCGACTCAAAGACCGACTGACGAGCAGAGCAGGAGTTTAAATTAGCTACTCAACCACCGCTGTGTTCATGAGAATCTTATTAATAATCGAGGAATAAATATCAAGCCTGGAAACCTGATATTGTAACGGACTGAATGTTGTGTTTTTAAAGTAATCTCTGCTCGGCTTGCGGGCGCAGGCGGTTGCCACGGCAACAGGTGTGCTTAAACTACAAAGAGACAGAAAGTAAAAAGGTAGGAGTGGTTTAGAGTTGATCACCTGTTCGGGTTGTTTTACCTTTGTTTACCTTTGCTGTGGCTCATCACACCCGCTGTAGTTTCTGAACGTTCAATAAACGACAAAACTTGGACTAATTACCTCGTTCTTTGTGAGTATACGTCACAACAAACATCAAATAGGATAAATATATTTCATTAAGTTTTAACTAATTCTACAGCGATAATTATGTGAAATTTAATTAATTATATCCCGACTTCAGAAGATTTGCCTTTAGCTTTTCTGGGCTCTTTGGTTAGTTTCTCATATTGAGGTCATCAAACCAAAGTTCAGATC